CAGATGGCACTGACCGTGCCAGGGCTCCGCTCCCACCCCACAGCCTCAGCCCTGGCTCTCCCTGCAGGAAAATCTCTCCGTCTCAAAAGCCCCAAGGAGCAGATGTCACAGCAGAGCTGGTTTTCACGGGTGATTTCTCTCCTTCCCCACCCCTCCCTCTCCCCGCTGCTCTCCCAGACCCTCTCCCTTGCTCATCTCTGTGTCCCCAACATGGCGCTGCTGGCCGTGGGTTCACTGTCATATTTACTGCCTGAGCCCCTGGTGATGCATCCCAGGAGGTCCCTGCTGCATGTTGGAAGATCTGCCCTGGGCGCCCCCAATCCCTTCCCCGGGCAGAGGTGATGTCCCTGCCCTGGCCCTCTGCCTGCCCCTGTCCCCTGCCTGTGCCCAACCTCCTGCCCCGCTGCCTGGGGGATCATTGCACAGTGGAAAGACATGCCGAGTATTGACTTGCAGTCAAATCTTATTGGCCTCTGGAGGCCCCTGGATTGTTTTCACTCCGAGCAGGTCTTGAAGAAATACATAAATAAATCAATCGAGCCAGTGCCCATGGAGGTGAAGGCTGTGACAAGGCAGGATGCGACCATCCCCTCCTGGCCGGGGCGAACCCCCCCACATCCCTGTGATCCCTGAAGCAGCTTTCTGTTGGTACTGCTGCCCTAAATGGGGGAGGCAGGTATGGGACACCCCCTGACCTCAGCACCAGATGGGGGTCCAGGGGGGTCTGCAGGTGATGAGAGGACAGCACCAGTGTCTTACCTGTATGGGATGGGGTGCTAAGAGCAGTGCCCCACTGTGCTGGAAAACCCAGGGGCATGGAGAGCACCTTCTCCTTGTCCAGCAAACACCCCATGAGGCCCCTTGGGTGCAGAGGTGGAAACTGAGGCAGGGCACACAACACTCCCAGACTTGGTCCAGGGGGGTCTGCAGGTGATGAGAGGACAGCACCAGTGTCTTACCTGTATGGGATGGGGTGCTAAGAGCAGTGCCCCACTGTGCTGGAAAACCCAGGGGCATGGAGAGCACCTTCTCCTTGTCCAGCAAACACCCCATGAGGCCCCTTGGGTGCAGAGGTGGAAACTGAGGCAGGGCACACAACACTCCCAGACTTACCCCCAGCGCCGGATTAAGGCTTTAAGCATCCCCCAAATCCCACACAGTGCTCTGTGGTAGCGAGCATGCCTAGTCACTGCTCTCCCATCACAGATCGCTTGCTCCTATGCAACAGAACGCCATTTTTTTCCCTTTTTCTGCTTGTTGACTATTTGTGTCACCCTTGCAGAAGGCGTTTGGCTCCTTTCTCAGATGGGCAGGGATGGACTAAGCCTCTTGGGGAAACCCTGGTGCTGGCTGAATGATCCAGCCCTTCTTTCCTGGCCCCTGACCAGCCCCTGCCTCCCATGACCCATTTTTCATGGCATCGGGGTGCCTTGCCGGGTGATGGGAGAGACAGCAGCTTCTTCCTCCCTCGCCCCAATTGGTGCTTAACAAATTCTGCTATTGCAGCCTCCAAAATGGAGGCAGACGAGGTGCAATCACAGCTGAGCCTTTCTGCACCCCTCAAAGGGCTGCAGTGGGTGTGCTCCCTCCTAAAGCAAAGGCTGTGGCAAGGGGGGCATTAATGACAGGGTCCTGCTTTTTTCTCTGCAGTGTTTAAAATGTAAATGGGATTCATTATTAGCAACCCCATTGCTAATTACCATCTGAAGCCATTCATTAGCCTGTCAGCTTATTTGTTGGAGGACAACAGAGTAGATCAGTTATTCCAAGTGAAGGAATAGCTGCAATGAGCTCAGCCACAGCGAACAGTGAGGTGGGAGAGGGAGGAGAGTGGGGATGGAGGGGGGACAAAGGCACAGACAGCCTCAGCCTGGAGAAAACTAAAACACTGGGAGAGAGGATTAAGAGTCATTTAAAATGGAGAAGAGGCAAATAGTGAAGGCAGGAATGGAGAGAAAAACAGGGATAAAGCAATTACACCCTGTGTATCATCTCTGTCCTCCCTGAGCATCCGCTCTGGTTACATTGGGACCCAAGGACCAGTTTCTTCCTCCATTACAGCTTTTCTCTGAGCACCCCACAGGGCTGGGGGGTCATACTGCAGAGGGGTTCCCCATCCTCATGGAACCCTTTTGCCTGGCCCCAACCTCACAGGAGGCGTGAGCTTGGATGGACCCTTTGGCAGAGAAGCAGAGAGAAGAGGACTGGCAGTGACGGGCATGGAGAGGGCTGCAGGGGATGGTGTAGAGCCAGAACAGACAGTCACCCGAGCCAAGCCTGGGAAAGGGGGAGAAAACCCCCAAAACATATTCTTAACAGAGAGCAGCATACCTGGAAGGAGCAGTAACCCGAGCCCCTGTCCTTCACCTGCCCTTTCTATATTTTCTTTCATCCAAATTGGCCCCACATGGGAGCGGGTCGGAAAGTCAAAGCACCCGATACAAGGAAAGTGTTAGCGCCGCTGTCCATCTCTGCGTCACATCAGCCCAGCTCAGGTCTCATACGCTCATCACATTGCACTTGGTGATGGGCTGATGCCCAAGCTGATTGCAGCCCATAGCAGGGTGCAGATGGAGCCCCAGGGTGCTACAGCTGCAGGGATCCTCAACCCCAACCTTAATCCGAGTCTGGAGCTGTTAAGGCCCAGGAACAGCCCACAGAAGATGTGACCCTAGGCTCCCTGGGGTACAGGGACCATTTTGATAATGCCAGGGGAACCCTAGAAGCATCCTAGGGGAGCACCAGCTACCTACTGAACCAGCAGTAGAATCCCCTTATCCCTATCTTAAGCAAAAAACCACCAGAATTCAAGATAAACCTCATCTTAAGTAAGCAGGCAGCAAAATAAAAGGAAAAAAACCCCCAAACCTCTTACAGGACAAGTCCTTTTGCAATGCTCCAGCACAACAATTATGGAGACACTGCGAGGCCCCTGAGGGCATTAATATAGCCTAAGGGTCCTGACCAGCTCCACCTGGGACTCCCCACTCACATCCTGCCCATAGCCCAGGAATTCTATTTAAGCTCAGCTCAGGAGTCTCAGTCCTGGTCTGAGCTTTATTACAGCTAGGCTCTAGGTCAGCTGTGGTTACTCTTGTACCTGATTTCTGCTGCTCTGGACCCCAGCCCCTGCACGTGACCCTTGGGTTGATTTTATGGTTTGGCTTTGAATCCGTCTACTTGCTGGTTGATCTGGACTCTTTGCTGACCTTTAACATCGTTCCCAGCTCAGGTGGTGTGGCTCTTACTTTGTCCCTAAGTTCCTCCCTTGATCAGACATCCCTTCTGAGCAAGGGGAGCACATGTTAACTTCCAAATATCTTTTCTTGTAAAGCCTGCAAGCAAATGAGAATGTGGTGTTATTGCTGAGGCCAAGGAGCAGCTCTGCAGCAAGCCATCAACTCAGTGAGATGGGAAAGGGCTGGAGAACCTGAGACGGGCAAGGAAACAGGTAGGAAGTAAATCTACAGGAGGAAATGCTTAAAGGCAAGAAATAAGGGGCACAACACATTCCCTATGGTCCTGACCTCAAGGGTGGGATCTTGTAGCAGCTCTGTAGTGAAATTGGGACTGAATCTGCCAAGAAATCCTCATCAGTGAGTGGGGCTGGGGGTTGCAGGCAGCCCAAAATTGCCCCCTGCCCAAGGGAGCTCAATGCCTGCAGGCTGTACAGGCAGAGCCAGTGCAGCAGCACTGCAAGGCTCAGAGCACCCCCGTGAGGTCTCACACGTGGGTGAGCAGAGTTGCTTGGCAAGAGTTGGGGATCCACACCCGTGTCCCCTTTTCCTCTTGCTGCTCATGTTCCTCCCCTTGCTCTCCTGCTGCTATACAGGGGATGGAGCTGGATGCGCGGGTTGCATTTCTGCAGGGGGAAACAGCTCAGTGCCTGGGTCCCAGAAGGTGCTTTGAGTGGACAGCTGGGCCCTCAGATATGAGGTCATCTGTGGTACGCTTATCTTCCTGTTTCCCTCTATTTTACCATCTGTGAAATAGGTGTTTGCCCCATTTCTGCCAGGTTTCCTCCCTGTCATCCCCACAGAGCAATGCTATTCATCTGCTGGTGGTGTTTGGCAAATAGGGCTTGCCGGTTTCAAGAGAAATTTAGCTGTTTCCCTGCTGTTCACACCTTCCTGTGGTGTGACCCTGTCCT